AATGTTCTGTATGGCCAAGCAGGGCTACCTCTACATTGGATACAAGCTGTTAACAGCCTTTTCTGCACTGTTTTAGAGTCTCCTCTAAAACGTTTTTCTAAACTTTACCACTATTCTTGGTAGTCCTGAAAAGAACTAACTTGCCAGGGATTACAGTGGTTGAGTTTCTCCAACTGGATGTCTTTGGTGTATTAAAATACTAAGTAATTATATATGTTAGACTGAATTGTAATTAACTACAGAAGATTCTTCAGAAGCTCACTGTAAATCTGTTGCAGATCTGGGGTGCAGCTGCTGGTGTAAGCCCAGGTCCTAGTGATCTGGTCTGGAAGTCTCAGAAGTCTTGGGGAATTGGGGATAATATTGGTGTTACACTCATCACAGATTATGGTGAGGTAAGTGAAATAATAAAACACTTCTGTCTTAATGCTTAACTTGTTTGTGCTTAATTCCTGAGGGGTCTTGGTGACAATTCTATTCTAGGAACTTGCGGAGAGGAAGATAATGCTTGTACCCAGAGGAGAAGAAAGTGAGCAAGATGATGATTATGAAGAAATAACTGGAAGTGAATTAGAGTTTGCATCTCAGGTAAGCTGCCTGGAGTTTAAATGTATGCTCTCAGCAGAGTCCTTCAATGGCCATTTCTTTTCCTTACTAAATGAAAATACTGCTTCAAGTACTCTTCATATCCTGCAACTCTTAATGTTTTTCTTGATGTCAGACCAAAAGAAGAAGAAAAAAGAAATGTTGTTTGGTTTCATGATAGTGGTTCCTGTGAGCATCCTTAAGCAGGTGAGATGGTGAGAATCATGCTTGTCACCTCATAGAAAACTTGCTTCATCAGTAGTGCTGCAGTCTCTTGTCCCATGTAGGATGTAGCTTGCATGGCTTCGCATCAGAAATGCAACTGAAGTTTTGCTTATTCTCTGAGTATGATCAAACAGTAACATTAATTATTTGATATCTTATTACTGACACATTGAAAATACAACCTTACATGTCCATTTTGTGTAAATATCTGACTGTGAACTAAAGTTGTTATCCCAAGAACAGAATGCAAACACTAAAGAATGCAAACACTAACTACTTCTGTGGGATGAAGTGACTGGACACTCCAGTGTCCCTGGCTTGCTTTTAAGATGATTGCAGTGTGAACTCAGGGTCACTATACTTATAAACTTTTGACTATAAACTTGCATGGTGATTACACCTATCCTATGCAAGACTATCCAGCCCCTTCAAATGGCTTTTGACTGACCATAATACAGGTCTGAACTGATGCATTTTGGATGCCTCTACTGTACTTTGATATAATATTAACTATATTTAATTGCTGAAATGGTCAAAACCAACTAATATGAGGGCTTTAAGTTGGTCCTAACCAAACAATTATGGACTGTATTTGACTCAAGTTGGTTTGTGTCTTGACCTGAAACAGTACTATGGTACAAACTCCAAAGCCTGGGAGCAAGGGGATGCTTAGCTAAAAACTCTCCTGCTGACAAATGTTCAGCTACTACAGCTCTTCATAAAACTGATCCTACACAGTTACAGGGAGTCGCATCTTACTGCATTAGGTTAAAGCTCCCACTACCATTTCCTAGATATTTTCATAATGTATCTGTCTGAACGCTAACTTAAAAGTACCTTAGTCCTGTCTTTCTGAAAAAATAACTACCTAAACAGGCAGTTACTGCCTGTTGTATTTTTTTTTTTTATCCTTTCAAACAGAAAATCTGGGTCAATATCTGTTACTACAGTACCATGTGGCTTAAAGGATGTTTATCAGTCTCCTGACTTGCATGCACATTCTTGTAATATTTTCAGTCTCACTGAAGGATGGTGAGACCTCGTTAAATAGGCTATTGAGAGGGTCTATAATGCTGTTCTGCCCTTTGGGTTCTTAGTGATACAAGCTTCTTTTCATGCTTAGAGTAGGGCCTCTCCTCATAGGTGGCTTCTTTTTATTTTAAAAGGCAGTTTTTGAGTTCACTTATATGACTTGTTTAATAATCAGTGATGGAAAGAAAAAGTAACTTTTTTCCTTAAACTTCTAATCTGTTTTATCAGCAACTTTACAATACAGTTGTGTCCCCTTTATGGTAAGAATCAATTCTAATACTTCCAATCAAATTTTAATGTCATTCCTGTTTGCTGAATTCCTATCAAACTTTTGACATTAGTATCACCTATATGCTTCTGCTGCCTTGCTAGTACTGAAATGGCTGCTTAGTAAACAGAAGTTAACTTGTTGCATGCAGTAAAATAATGGGAAGAATGTATGCTGTGCTTTAAAGGCAGGCAGCGTTTTTATGTTTTGCTTCTGCTTTTACCATCCTAAGGAGGGCAGCACGGATCTGCATGCCACTTAGGTCCTGATGCTTGGGAAAGTGAGGTAGTGATGGGTAGTTTGACAGCCTTTCATTAAGGCACAGGCTCGTATATTGCATGGACTTAGACTGGTACAGTACAGTTCATATACTGCCTCTTGAAAATCTGCTTTGCTTTATTAATAAGTAACTAAATCTATAAAGTGCTAAAAACCCTACCTGCCTATATGAGGATCAAGTAGGTAACCAGCAAGAAATATTAAGTTTGTATATATGCTAATTTACATGTTTTCTCTTTGCAGCAAAATGAAGATCCCAGCTGTTCTGTCATGTAATGTAGACAATCATCTGAAAACACCTCTCAGTCCCAGGTGGCATAGACTGTGTGTTTATTTTCTGTAATATCTGGAATTTGGAACTCACATATTCCATCTGATGTCTTTGTGAGAAGCATTGTCCATAACATGATAGAACTTCCTACCTTCTGATAACTGGACCCTGGACAAAGAGCAGTAGCATACAAGCTCCATGTGAAGTTATTGTTACTTTTACACAAGGATCTGGTTTCTGTGACCTGCTGGAATAGAGGAGGATACAGAGTTTACAAAGCTTCTAAACATGTGCCCTAGAAGGATGTTAAATACTTGACAATGAACATGAGGCTGCCTCAGCTTTCTCAATATTCTGATATGGTGTTCTCCAAAGGTAATTTCTCTTTCCAGCCTGAATGGGAAACATGGGACTGATCACACCCTTGCACCATGAGCAGGTCTGAAGTAAAACATGTCCTGAAGAGTGAGTGTCTGAAATGTTTCCTGCTCAGATTCTGATGGAGAAATACATAAAAGAGGTCTGGGTCAATTCCTAGAGTGAAACACTTTAGAATTAAAAACAAGTTGTAAAAAATATTCCTTTCTGTTATTAAATGTACTGTTTCTATAGTCTAGCACCTGCAAGTCCCTGTTTCAGTATTGTATATTCCTAGATTCAGTGTATCACAGCAGAGCTGTGCCTGCCTTAACTTGGAAAAATGTATCCTGGAAATGTGAAAAAGCATTGCATTCTGACAGAGCAGGTACTGTGACCAGTGCTGCTGGCACTGTTTAATTGGTCCCAACAGCTTTCTAAGGGGCTAGAGAGGAAAATATGTTAAGTCAAAAATCAAAACTAGAAAGCCCTAACTGTAGTGAAAAACACCTCAAACTCGCTGCTCTTGAGCCCTTGTGCTAAATCTCTCCATGCAGGCTGCAGCTGTGTGTGTCTAATGGGACAGCTGGGGGGAAACTGGTAATGGGCCAGTGTGCAGCTCCCTGTCACTCTGCTCAGTGCTCCATGGCAAGCCTGTCCTGTAACCCTCAGGAGGGGACAGTCAGCCTCGGGGGCACTGCAGTCACCAAACTGCTCCCCTGCTGGCCCTCGGGGGAAGAAAGGGCTTTGAGCCACATGAAGCAAATTTCTACTGGGGAGCAGCTAAGCCTGCAGATTTCTCTCAATGCTGGAATAGTGTTTGGACTGTCTTTTACCTTGCCAAAGTGTTCAGTTCCAAATTCAAGACCTGCTTTGTGTTAGGATGCAGGTGTTAAGGTGAGATTTTCCTTATGCTAGCTTAAACTCTTACATTATTTAAAAATTCTAATTTTGAGACATCAAGAGTAGGTGCTGGTTTAAGACTTGGATTGTAGCAGATCCAAATTCTTGTTCCACCTCAAACAATAGAAATAGCTGCTGGTCTAACTTTGCTGTATTTATCTTCATTTCTTAAAACTTTTTTAACTATTAAAGATATTTTTCATGTATATAAAAGCACTCTTGGATTTAAATATTTACAGATTAAATAATAAAGGTCTGTCTGTTCAATGATTTCTCTTGAGTGGTTTGAAGTAATAAAACTGGTGCTTTTAGGGACTGCAGAGTAAAGAAACCTTCAGCACTGCACTCTGTTTGCCTGTTTACATTTATCACTTACTTCAACTGGAGCTGAACTGCTATGAGCTTAAGAAGAATCTTCAGTAGACAGCTTGCCCATGAAAAATTCAGCTCTCTTCTCATAAATTTCTTTTGTAGGGAGAGAATTGGCAAAAGATTCCACATTCCTCCAGGGCTGCTTACTTTGGTCACTAGTATATTACTAAGCAAAGCAGGAGATGGTAAACCAAAAAACAAAGTGCTTCTATCTTCATTCAGATAAGTACTTCTGATGCCAGAATTCTTCCTTAATTTTGAGGCTTTTTCTGGTATATTTTTAGTTATTACATGCCCTTCCATCACCACCTTTTCTTCTCCTTTCTCTCCCTTTCAACTAAATATAAGAAATAGAAATGTATTGACTTTTCATTTGTATGCAGTAGGCACCAGTGCTACTCACCCCTTTCTCTCAGTGGAGTTTTATACAAACCCTATGGAACTAGGAGCAGTTTGCAGTTAGTTCCAAGCAATTTCTCTCCTTTCCTTCTGCTAGAAAAAGATGTTAACATAAATGGTAAACAATCAGTAGAGAAGTAGAAACATTTTTAAAATTGCAGTGCAGAGATGTCATAAAATTAATGCATTCTTTATTCATGCATTTTTAAGGTAGCGTTGTTTTCGTCACTGAAAGCTGATCTATTCAGCAAAAGTCACCTCCTGCTCAAACAAGTGCCAGAACCATCAGTACAGAAGCAGCAACCACTGTTCTTATCCCACAGAAATATTTATTCAGTTTGGTCAGTAAATTATACCAATTTTCAATGCTGAGAACTTGTACTTAGTACAACATCATCTTAACATTGACAACAACCACTTTGCCTTTTGTCAACATACAATGCAAAATATGAATTAACTTGTCCACAATAAATTATGGTGTGATAGATGAAAACAGCTCAATGACATCAGTAACTTAAGAACTGGTTACAGTTAGCTTCACTAACAGTAATTTTTAAAATGGTTTTCAATAGTAAAATCATTGCAGCCAAAGATTAAAAAAAATCCACATACAATAATAGCAAGGAAATGCATTTTTGGAGCAACAGTGAGCTACCAGTAAACACTCCATACAGTGATCTTCAAGGCACAAAGCAAAAAAACTGGGTATGGGTTTTTTTGCAGGTTGACAAATCAGGGAAGGTGAAATTTTTTTGAATATAAAATAAATACATTTTAAAAAGACGCATACAAAAGTCAGTAAGTCAGTCAAATAGCAAGGCTTTCACAGAATGCCACACTGACAGAACATTTGTGAATCCATTTCAGTCATGAAATCATGTTCACAGCTCGAATGACACAATCACTGAGGCAAGGGAACTATCACTTCAACATAATTAATGGGGAAGAAGCCAGACTCTCCATTTAACATCCCCTCATACCAATTCTCATCAATCTGATTGGTCAAAGTTATGATGTCCCCTTCCTTAAACCCAAGCTCGCCTTCATTTTCTGGCTCAAAGTCATAGAGAGCTTGGCAGCAAGGCTGATCCATGTGCACTGAAGAACCTGCCCCAGTGACAGAAAAAACAACCACATTAATTGAGCTTCACAGCATCCCACCAGCCACTAAGCACAAAACAAGGGATCAAAAATGTAGCCCTGCTGTCATGTCAACAGCAACAGCTTTTCCATTGCTTTTATTCATTAACATCTGGTACTTCTATGTATAAAATAGAAGATTAGTGATAGTAAGTTTAAAGTATAATTGTTTATCCCTTAAGTTCAGATGCTACTCCTCTTTCATTCCAAGTTGCCTTCCCTCTCAAAAGGATGTTTATCTCCAATTGAAGATTTGAGTAATCAGTTGTCAAAACCCATGTGCTCTCTGTGGAGCAGCTGCCAAAGGAATCGGAAGGGCAGGATTTGAGGAAGCAGAAGAGTCAACAGGGGAAAGGACAAGGAATCCTTTAAACAAACGGCACTGCAGCACATTGATCCTGTGGGAATACCTACCAGAGGGCAGGAGCTCCTGCTCTGTCCTGCAAGCACAGCCCTGCAGCCTGAGGCAGACATCTGCATTTTCACACCACATGTGCCTTGGCAGGACTGAGGCTTCCACCCTCCCCTGAGCAGTGACAGTTCTGGGTTACTGCTCCCTGAGCTCGTGTGCTCCAGTCCTTTATTTTACATATCCTCCATTTGAACTAAGGCAAAGGCTATGGTAGGAACAAAGGTGCCTGTCAAATTATTTTAGGGATGAAAACAGAACCTGGCTGTTCTTGTGATGTGCATTGTTTATCCTAAAAAAATCTCAATTCCAAATCACCCTTAAACATTATTTTAAAAAAAGTTAACCTTGTAAATACAGTAAATACCTTTTTTAAGAGAGTTTCATGCAAAAGTGTTAATTAGCTCAGATTGGTGGTACCAATATATATGCAATATTCATATTTATGAACAATTAGAATACATTTTATTAGAATAATTATGTTCAAATTGTAAAACTCAGCTCTGTGGTCAAGGACTAGCCCGTGGTTCAACTGTAGTTCAGCAGTAACAGATTTTTTAACAACATATGTAATGTATCCAAGTAAAAGTCTGGTAATTTGAAATACATTTAGAAATTAAGACTAGGAGGAAAGACTTAATACTGCTGCCTTGTAAAGAAGAGTACTGCATCTTATAGCATGACACCTCTAGAACACTGGTACTTAAATTATTCATGTTGTCTTATTAGGAACATTGCAGCAATACTCAAATATTCTGGTCTTGACTCTCCCAGCTATAATTTTTTACTGGGTAAATCTGCATGCAATTGGTAATGCAGTACAGATATAGCACATAAAATGGCAAAAAAGCGTTTTAATCTGTTAATCATGGTAATGCATAGGAAACTATTAAAAAATAACTGCTCAGGCATTTTCTAGATAGAGGAATTAGGAGAAGTGTAAAGGAAACCAGCTAAGAACCAGTGGTGATCACTCAGTGAGAAGACAATTAAAGCATCTTTTTAATTGACAATAATACAATTAGGGCAAGATCTGGTGTTAAAACTGGAAAGTAGGAATTGCTTTTCACTTTTGTGCGTATATTTTACCTTTGATAACAACAGAAGAGAGCTTTTATTTGCAACAATGGAAAAGAAATGCCCACAGAGACTAAGCAAACCTTCCCAGAGCAGCACTGTCACAATGCCAGACTCATCCTCTCCCTGTGGAAGGCTCAGGATAGTGACAAAGTCCTACAAGAACCAACTAAATTAGAGCTACAGGTGATAGCTTGGTTGTCATATATTTGCTGAAGGACTCCAAGCAGAAAAAGAAATGATGAGCCAGTTGCCCAGCAAAAATGGACTTGCCATGTTTAAAACCACAAATGGACTGATTGTGTTTAAAAATAGCTGAGTTATTTTCAGCCTTTGCCAAGGTAGAACTGGTACCAGCTCCCTGGAACTGTCAACAGCAGAAGGCGGCAATGGCAATAATTGACAGAGTTCCTCGCCTGCACCAGCTGCTCCCATGGGGCTGATTTGTTACTGCAAGTCAGTTAATCTCTGACAGTGAGGTACCTGATTGGAGATGGATCACATTTGGTTCATTTTAAGCTCCAAAGAACTGCAGAGAAGTCTGGCAGCCTGGAAAGGTTTTTAAATAATGGCCACAGCCAGCACAACCGGTTTCACTCCAGGCTGTAGGATCAGTCAAAGTCTTCATTAGAGCCAGGCAGCTGCTGCTACTGTATAATCCAATGAGACAAAGCTTCCCTGACAAAGGTAAGGGGGCAGCACTGCCTGACAGTCTGCAACACACTGCTTAACATCACAGAACTGCTGGCACCACTCCAGCCTTTTTCTGTCTGCTTGCACAAATGTTGCAGAGGTTTCACCTAAATAATATTTCTGCCAACAGGGTTTTTGTTAATTACAACTCCATATGCATCTCCTTTATTTCTCTAGTTTACTTTCCTGTCACAGTCAAAAAAGAACTGTTATTACTATTTCCAGACCACTCTGGACCACTCATGTCCAGACTGTGGACAGCACAGAATCAGGGTAAGCAAGAAGCTGCCTGTGATTCCTGGTGTGTTACAAGATGAAACCAAAATGCCATTCAATGATGGTTAGGGTTTTTTCTGTTGTTGTTTCCCCCAAAGGAGGGTGTTACTGCCTGTACCAGCATCTACTCTGCCTTCTATACCATGCTGTATACATCAGGTAGCAAGACTGCACTTTAATAATCACAAACTGGAAGCTTGCTAAGATAATTAATCCCAGTCTCCCTCATAGCTGAAGTGAGTAAACACTTAGATGCTTATGTTAAATTCCAGCATGTGGCAACCAGATCCATATATTTCATATCATAGTCAAACCTGACAAACAGAGTGAAAGGCATGATGTAACACAGCAATTAAAGAGTTCTAAAATGAGCCAGATGATGCTCACAGCTGCAGCTCATTAATGAGGATAACAATGAATTAAAACTAGAGATTGTTTTTGTCTGCATTTACTCGAAGCAGCCAAGTAACTCACAACAACATAAAAATTATGTGAATCTAGCCCTGCAAATGTGTGCGAGTCATAAGTAGTAAATAATCCTCACATTTTAGAGACTATACAAAGGAAAATACTATTTCTGGTCCAAGAAGCTGATACTTTAAAAAATATTGTGGAACATGGGAAAAGTAATTTCCATGCTCAGAACTGTACAATGGCAGTTGTGCTGAATGTGTCAGATGTTGCTTTGAGCTGTCCTGCAGATCTCCATGGGTTTGCTGAATACCAAGACATTACTTACCCTGAGGGACAGTATCAGAGGAATTAAAGATCTGTATTTTGATAGGGTCAATATGGAAGCAGGGAAAATGAAGCATGGAAGTACTTGTTTGTGTAGGATGGGGAGGTCAGTTTCCTAAACAAAAAGAAGGTGATTACAATGCTATCTCCCCATCTCATGGAGACTTTAAGATATATAGCAGTTTTGCTTAGAACTGCCTGGTTCTCATTTCTAAATCACAGATCATAAAAAAAAATCTAATCTGTTTAATGGTTTCGATTTTAAAAAGGGACAGAAAGGTTTTCCCATTTATAAGCAGGGCATATTGAGCCACTGCAGTTCACAGAAATCCATACGGACAATGTTTGAGTAGGAATAGGAAAACAAAAGAGAATGAACAGAGATTTCAGTGATGATTTGTACCTGCTGGGGAGGTAAGCACAGCATCCACAGCTTCTTTAGGAGGAAAAAAAAAAAAAAAAAATCAGCCTACATGATCTTTCTAATGTTATTAATAACACTTCAGTATGGCAACAATTATCACATATATCCTATTTCTCCTTCTCATCTCTTTTATGGTGGTTTTATTCCGTTTCCATTCTGACAGCACTAAGCAAGTGAAGCAATGACAAGCTCTCATTTAGTGATATGCAAATGGTACAACAGTCCATGAACGGAGTTAGTGAGTGGAAGTGCCTCACTCCTTCCCTATCTTAGTGATCAGTGGTCATTTATTTTCCAGTTTTCACTGACTTTCAGCTCATTAAAAGTGAGATTTTTATTTAACTAATTAGGCTGGAAGCAAACTGGAGAAGTCATCAGCTGTCCTTCTCCCAAAGGCACGATTGAATATCCTTAAAGGACATCTTGGAACAACTGCTGCATGGCAATGATAAACCACTGTAATGTGGTTTGACACCCTAGCTTACATACAAATGCTGAATCTGAATCTCCTTTCTCCCCTGCACATGCAAAACAGGAAAAAAAAATCCTATATAACTTGATGAGTAGTTGATAGGGCCAAGAAATTTTATGGTGATTTTTAATAAAGTTGCTGGTTTTGCTACTTTCATCCAGATGTGCTGTGAAAACACCAAGGAGGTTACTGATCCCTGCAAACATCTCCAGTGCATCTCCAGTGGGTGAAATGTGTCCTTGTGTCACAAGTCTTGGGAACCACTGGTGTGACCTGAGATAATGTGCAGAGGGGGTTGTCTCCCTCTATCCCACAATTGACAGCAACACAAAAACTCAGCATTGAGGTGGCACAAGGAGCTTCAAAGAAATCAAGGAATCAGATCTCGCTGCTGGATTTATGCTGCCAGACTGCTGCAACTCCCCTTCAGTATGGATTGTATAATGGTTTCCTCTTGTAGCACAGTGCAAGAAAATTAAAGAGACATTAGAAGGAGCATGAAGTTACAGCTCCAAGTTTTATTCTTTTACTTTTAGTTCTCCCATTTCTCTCCCAACAACCTTTAAAAAGGAATAAGACTGGAGGGAAGAAGAAATTGGACAGATAGGAAAAAAAACCCAACAATCTTTCAGGAAAAGATCCCAGATGCCATGCTAAGTACAGAGGGAACCTTTGGCTTATTACTTCTCCTCTATTTTCCTTCTAAATAATGTTTATGGAAAAATCTCTGGCTTTTTCATTCTCTTTTCTTTGCATATAGTCATTTGGGTTTTGTTCGGGGTTTTTATTGGTTTGGTTTTTTACTGGGCTCATCTCATCATATAGTGTAGTCATTAAGGAGATAGGGCAAAATAATTTTATTCATGAGATGAGGAAAAGCTATTTAAATGTGTACTATTCACACAACTTTCAAAAGTTGCCCCTTTTTTTGTGAAATCAGGGCCTCAAAGGAAAGGGTCCTAAGCCCCAACCAACACATAGCTAAAGCACTTCAGTTCATACTTTAGTGCATGATTAGGGGACAGTAAAGTTGGAAAGTGTTTAAACCAGTAAGGGTGGGAGTCATGTCTCTGAATTTTACATTGCTAATATTTAAGATCCTGTACAGATCATTAATGGCCTGAGACTGTGGAGAAAAATTAGCACCTGGAGATACTCCAGACTGTGATCAAACACACCCACTGTAGGCATCTCTCCTTGCAAGAAAATGAATGTTTTCTGCAAGTGCCTCTCCTTCTCTCTCTTCCCACCCTCAGTGGCAATTCAGAGACCTAAAAGACCAAGGAGAATGCCACACCTAAATTTCAGATGGGTGAGAGCCTGTTGAGAGGAACCCTGCCTCACAGTTCTGTTTTGAAATCTGGGAAACAATCTGGAGTCAGACGCACAGACACTGATGCCTGATGGATGCATTGTTCTCATGGTACAAGAAATACCTCATGCAACAATCTGGCAAAACATCTAGAGACACATTAATTCTGTGGTGACAGACTCACCTGATGATTTTATGGAAGAACTATAGGCAATTCCATTGTGCTGCTGATTATCACCAACTTCCAGAGTTGTAGTTATTACAGGCTTTGGCTTAAATTCACGCTTAGGCCGACTAGATGCTACATTTATTCTGTAACACAGAGAGGAGCAGTAAGAGATTTATTTAGGAAGAAAGAAGGGAGAAATACTTACAGAACTTAAGTTCAGATTAAGTGCTTTACTCTTTGAAAGGTGGAGTAAGAAAATCTTCTGCTGGTCCTGGTTTTAGGCTTCTTTTGGTTAGTTTGTGTTTTGGTTTTATGGCATTGGGTTTTTTGGTTGGTTGGTTGGTTGGTTTGGGGTTTTTTTGGGGGGGGAAGTGTGTATTTTACTAAAAGCTGCTCAATTCTCATGCACTACTTGAATTTCAACAAGTCCCTAATTTATTTAACACTTTGGTCCTGATGACAAAGGCATTAAGCTTAACAGCCTGAGTTTAAGAAGTGATGAGCACCTACAGCTGCCACTGAGTTCAGCACAAGTTGCAGGAATGAGCTCTGTGGAAAGCTCAACTGCTAATGACATATGGAGAAACACATCCAGTACAGAGGCCCAGGGACTGCATTGCACACATGGCCTTTTTTTTAGGGAAAATGGGAAAAAAAAAACATTTAGCCAGCAAAACTGTCTAGTACCTCTTGCTGTGTGTACCCCATCTGAGAGCTCCTTGTCTCCCAGGCCCCTCCAGCTGGGATGGCACAGGGTGTCTGCAGACACAGCTGCCAATGCTCACTCCGAGCTGAAAGCCCCAAGAGGTTCCCTTGGCTCTGCCTACACCACAGTGACACTAAGGTCTGTGGTTCTCCAAGTGACACATCAATGACAGCAGCATTTCTCCCTTTTCTTAGGCTGACACAAAGTACCTGGACCTTTCATACACGTTACAGCACAGCTCTGTTCCTGGCCAGCTGGCTGGTTCCTTACTGTGTTGTAGAATTTTGTTACACCCCTTAATCTCAAAAAAACCAGGCCAACTTCCAAGCAAATCCTCCAAAACACAACTCAAAGTATGCAAGTTGAAATAAACCCCTAAACAAAGGGAGGCTGTCCCCATTAACCTCCACAGATGGGAGAGACTCTGCACACTCAGAGCTCCCTGGGCAGATCCTGTGTTATGTTCAAGTCTCCCAGCACAGCAAGAAGCTGCCAGGTGGCAGGGGTTTAAAGCCATGGAGCTCAGTCTGGCACAAAGCACAGCAAACATGCATCTGGGAGGTGGTGCTACAAGATCTCTTGCTTCAGTGCCTTTCCAACGTTGTGAACCTCGGCTGCAAAAGAGCTTCAACATTTTCGGAGGGGTTCCGTCTTACCGGTTTTGCAGCTTGCTCTGCAGATCCTCCAAAATTTCTGTGGATTGTTTATGGTAATCTAGTGCTGCTTCTACAAACACAGCCAACTGGCTGACTTGTTCTACCTGAAAGACAGAGAGGAAAATATTTGTAAGGGCACTGCAGTACATTCAGCAGAAAGATAAACAAAAAGATCATTTAAAACAGACCTGCTATCTCAAAAGACCATAGTACCTTGTAGAGGTTATTGGAAAAGAGCACATGTGATTCTATCAAAGAAACTGCCAGCTGGAAACTGAACAAAACTGAGGTGTAACTTCTAGTTCACTAACTCAGGGCTGGGTCCTTGAGTCATTTCCTTTCACAATGTGCAAATCCCTTCTGCTTTCAACTTCCAAGCCAGCTGTCTGTCAACACTCAAGTCCAAAACATTTAATAGGACATGACCCCTTAGCAGGTGAAAGTGGAGCTTTTCTGATCAATGCTGGAAGAAATTACACTGTGATAGCTCTTAGGACTCAGACCCATTAGAGTTTATTATCAATGTTTACAAATTGCAGTTCTGAAATAATCTGAACTCATCTCACTAGATGGCAGCATTTATAAACTGATAAATGAAACATGATTTATCTACTTGGATTTAAAACATATTAGCCAATCATTCAAAAATATGAACGATGAGGAAAGGGAGAATGTGAAGGAGAAAGAAAAAAACAAAATATTTTTATTCATGAGGTAACAAATAATCTCATTCCCCTAACACAAGCTGAAAAGTTCAAGCTGTATGGGGTATGGAGCAGTAACAGATATTTGTCTTCTTCAAGACAACGTTAAGAAGTCAGACCCCAAGAAGTCTGACATCTTTCCATTCCATCATGATGCCTTCAGACATTGGATCATAAGAAAATATCTGAGTAAACTTTCTACAAATGTTTTATGGACCCATGGCAGTTTTGTGTTATACTCTGTCTGCTTTTACTCAGTCAAAAAGATCATTAAAAATTCTGCCAAGACTCCAAGAAAGCCAAACACTGTCACATAGCATAAAGAAATGAAATGCATAGAACTAAACCAACAGCTGATACAATCCCATCACAATCAGAAGAGAGTAACATAAACAGCTGAGGACAATACACAAAGTTTGCATGTGTGGTCAGAGAAAATGGATAAAGGACTGTCCAAACAAGACAACTAAGAACCAAGAGAAATATGGAGATGTGGATTAGGAGAAGAAAATACGAGGAGAAAGAGAGACTGGGAAAAAGCCAGAGAAACTTGAGGGACTAAAAGCTACTTAGGAAGATGAACCTGGGACTGGCTGCGTGGGAATGGCAGGAAGATGGAGCTGATAAGAAGTGCATGCAACAGTGTCGATGTGGGAGGTCTGAACTGGCTATGCAAAAACATGAGAAAGGTGAGGATCAGGATTGAGCCTGGGAAAGGCATCTGGCAAGATGGCTGGGAAGAAGAGCTCAGAGAACAGACTTCAGGGCAAGAAGACCAAGAGAGGGAGACACTTGGGGAACTGCAAAGGATCAGAAGGAAGCTCTGATTGCAGTTAACATCTCTGCAAACACAGTGAGACCATCTGGGGTTAGACAACAAGGCTGTAATGAGAAGTTTCAGGAGGACAGACAGACTGAGTCAGCATGAAAATGGAAGGGGAAGAGCACTGAGTTTTCTTTAAACAGAAACCATAAGAAATGGGTACTGAAAAAACTTCAGAGGAATATCCAGTTCACCCCCTCCCAAAGGCAGAATTACTTATATTAGAATGCATAACTCATCTACTTTCTAGTGGCTGAGCTAAACCAGTTGAATTCCTGCACTCTTTTATCCTCAGTTTGGTGCTCTGACTAATGATAAACAGTACCTGAAACATTTCTCAGCTGCCCATGCAAGACAGAATTATAAAACACATCCACTGCAACCAGGCAACTGGTAGAGCCCACAGTGGAACAGTGCTGAAATTGTTGATAAAAGCATGTTCCAGCTTTTGCTGCCCTCATTAACTTACACTGATAAAACAGCAAGGGGCTTAACTGCCTTACACTATACTCTCCTGTAACAAATGTGTCCCACTTACAAACAATTCAGGAGCTACAGGCTGGTTTATAACTGAGTGTGCATAGAGAGAGAAGTTGCTTGCAGTTAAATATTCCCACTTCACAGCTCCTCCCTGTTGCAGTTTGCTCACAGAAGACAGCACACTTTTGACTTTGTGTGTTTTCTGTGATCCTCCATCTACAGAAGAAGAGAAAACTTTGGAATAGGCCCAGCTCTCTTTTCCTACAATTCCATGATTATGCAGGAGAAAGCACATCCTGCTATTCCTGTGTGTGGACAGAAGAGAGGATTATCCTGAATGGTCACAGCTGCTCCTTATTTAGACATAATTTCAATATGGACTTGGACTCTGAGCCAAAGTCCACATACCTGGGCCCAAGCCACAAACTCACTCTGTGGACTTTGCAGAGCCAACGAGTAATAGTAATGATTTTCCAAGGTAAAATCATTCAGAGACTCCATATCAGCAGTGAAATTTTGACTATAAGTGAGCTAAAATTCAGAAAACTCAGAGCGTACATGCCCTTGCTTATACTTTCAGCAGCAGGTCTTGACTATACCAATTTCCCAACCTTCACCCTCTCACTGACCAAACTGCATTTTACTCTCAGCTAGTCCCACTTGCGACCTCTGTGGCCATCATGTCTGAGTCAGTGTATCTCCAGAAGAAATTCCTGAGTTCTTGAGTTCTCCCATTCTCTGCCGTGCATTATGTTCTTCTCTAATAGGGGATTGAAAAGCGGGAAGAGGCAGAGTTTCTGCTTTCAGACCTTACCTCCTGTGAAGGATGGGACTGGCTTTAACCAATCCCACACATTTGCCCCTCCAGGATGTACTGCAGCAAACAAAGATGCAGCACAGACTTACATCATTTTCTAAGAAATTGAACATGCTTCTTTCAGCCAGTTCCTTTGACTCCTCAAATTTTTCTACTGCTTGTTTAACTTCTTCATCTGGTATCTTTCCAAAACGCTTCTTTTTATAATCATAATCCAAGCGGCGCCCTTCCAGTTTCTTCAAGTGATGCTAAGAGAGACAGAACACTTATGAGAGGGATCAAATGGGACATGCCCAAAGAAACATACTGTGATCTAAGGAAACATTAGTGATGGATTCAAATATATGCAGACTGAAAGAGATACAAGGCTCAGAGACTTGTACAGTCCATCCCTTTGTAAGTGCAGGGCCACATAAATGAAGGAAATTTTAAATAAAGAGCCCTTTGGTAGCACTTGGGGTACTGGCAGCCTTGATTTGCCTATCTTAGACATCCACCTCATGGAGTTCACTAAACGTGCAACTGTACAGATTCTCTGAGCTGTTGAGAAAAGCAGGATCCAACCTAAACATTTGTGTGTCACCATATTCTACATGTAATTCAATTTTACATATTGAATTATCTGCAATATGATGACTTAAAGGGTTATATTGCCATCATAAAGCAGCGCTCCAACAAATCTTGTATTCTTGCTGTCCTTGCTAGGTATCAGCTTGACACTTCTATCTGATAAAACTACACAAGCTTTTCTGTTGCCAAAAATCCTGGGACTGACAGACTCACAGAATGGACTCAAAGTGACAGTACAAAATGCTCATTAAAGCTAACATCAAACAACTTCCTTTCATCAGTTCAGAAGAACACAACTGAAAACAGCTATGCTTTAAAGGAGACAGCTACAGACATTACTATATTTTTGCTATGCTTTCCACATTCATTTATGTGTAAACAAGTAAAATAACTTTCATTTCTGCATTTCATCAGGGTTTTAACTTGCTTATAACCCAAATCCATTGGAATCAACAGACTCAGACAAAGACTGCCTGGATTTCTTTGAATTGTCACATTGTAAACAAAAACACAGAAAAACTTAACTCTAAAGGTTAAAAATGTGTTCCTTAGCGTCCTGTATTTTTCCTATAGTGGCATATGGCACTTCAACATTTTATGACACTATTCAGATCATTCTGTGTTTGCCCTGAAGAGCCTTTTTTAACAGTCATATTCATTCTCCATTATAAACAGCTTTAGGCTGACAGGGATGGTAAGATAGGATAATCACTAGCAGTAAATCACAGCCCACTCACATGTTCATAAGTATTAAAAAAAATGTTCATTAAAACAAAACAGTAGAAAAGAAAGAATATAATTTTCTTCATTATGCTTGTACTAACTGTACAAGCAATATAGCAAATTGAGTAAGTTAGACAAGTGAGAAATAGTCAGGCATTGAATCTAAACAGATTTTGTCACTGTTTTGCTGGAGAGAAAATCTATTACAACAAAGTTTATTTACCTTATTGCTTTCAAGAAAAAAATCTCAGGCAACCAGGGTTTGATTTGACTCTGATTATTGCCAAGTGAAGCTCTACCCTGGAAAACTTACCCCAATCTCTTTTAAATCTTTGTCCTGCAGTAACTGTAGAGGATCAATAAAATTTTGTTTGACATTAATATCAAGAGAATCCTTCACTTCTGCCATTTGCTTCATGCTCTCACCAGCATCCAGTAGTGCAAGGCCTGTGTAAAGAAAAGGCTCTTAAATCTCAAGATACGTAAAAGCAGAAAATATGTCTTTTAAAACAGCCATTTCAAATAGGCACATTTTGTATCTACTGCAGTTCCTTGAAGAGTAAAAAAGAAAATAATGCAAGTTATAATGCTTGTTCTCTATACAAAACTGGAACTAGAAAATATTTGTTCTGAATTACATTTCAGGGTTTGTTTTTTTTCGCCCCAACAGATATCAGAGGAAAAAACCTTTTCTCCCTACCGTATTTGCATAGGTCATTACTAAAAAAAAAAAAAAAAAATCATCTAGTGTTACTGTTTATTTCTTTCTACAAGAATTTTTTCCCTTACTTTACTTCTCAAATTGAGTATAGCCATTTTTATATAAAGGCTAAAAGAAATAAATTGTATATAAGAATCACCCCAAATTATTTCAGTTTGGCAACTTACAAACTAAAATGTTTAGTAATAGGGATGATCAGACAGCATCAATAACAGTGTCATCAAACCCACCTGCAACAGAGGCAGACAAACGTGCAGGAGCATTCTGCTTCTGAGCTGTATCAATCATTCCCTGATCCCTGCACTTTCCCTCTTACCTGCAGTGGCCAACTACACAGATTATATCAGTGAGTAATACTTTGCAAAGGATTTTATGCTGAAATATTGGCAGAGGAGATGCACAAACTCACCAAACATAGACTCATCGCCCAGCTCTCTGCCATACCGTATCATGCAGTCTCCCAGGAGTCCCTCTGTCTGGGGGTAGCCTGTGGTTTTAACTTGCCCTCTGATCTTTGACATAGTGTTCAGCATTCCCAGCTTGGCCCTGTATGCTAAGAGTGACATAGAAAAAGCAAAAAAAAATTTAAAAGTTTCAAAACTAATCTATTTAAAGCAATAAATCATTTTCAAGCAAAGTCACAAAGCTTGTCTCAGACAAGCTTTTGCTTGTCAGTTCCTCACAGTCCAAAGCTGAAATAAGATTCCATTCAACAACATGGTCATATGAAATTAGTTTTCATTCCCAAAATAAAATCATTTCTCCAGGCAAATATCCACTGACACTCACATTCCTTTGTATAGTTCTGCTTGTGAGCTCCTGGATTAGAAATATTGAAGAAAGCAAATGCAGGATGCAAGCACAGCCAAAGCTAACTTTCTCCCTCTCCCTCTTTCTTAGAAGAACTTTGCAGAACTCCACACAGAAACATCTGACGATGAGCTTATATTTACCTAGAATGAATTTCCAAGTAATAACACAATTTTCATCAAAGTCCAACACCTATTGTTCCTGTCCTACCTGGATTTGGCTGAAGATACTCCGTGGATTTGGACAGAAGCTCTGTTACAGCTTTATTAGTAACATCAATTTTCTGAAAAAGAAAAGTAAGTCTACTATGAACATTAAAAAATACACAGGGCAATTAAAAAAATAAAACAATTGTAAAAGCAGAAACTGGCAGTAACATTGTTTAATTTGCAACACAACTCAATAGTGGATAGCAAACATGTCAATTTAATGTAAATTCCTGAACATGGATTTAAACTAAAAAATACAATCTTTTACCATGAGAAAATCCGGCCCAAGTAGTCAGATTTGTATCATTAACTTTATCAGATACAAAGGCTTTGTGATATTTACAAAGCCTCACTAACACTGCAGACTTCTCTAAACTCCCATACAGCCAGGGGAAGGTTCCTCCTGATGCTCTGCACCCTTCTTGGAGGAATTTCTCTTCACTGCCGAGAGGTGTCAGTGGAACCTGATCCTCTGCTCAAACAGCCTTTGTGGATGTCTCTTCTCCCTTGGCTGAACTGACAAGGCTTAAGGACAAATTTGCATTTATCCTTTTATCTTTCTGTTTGGAAATACATTATAGGGTTTCCTCCCCCAGGTAAATACCATTCAATTATTTTGCAATAGCTTAATATTGAAAAACACAATGTGACTTTTCTTACCCTTTCCATCTCTTGAAATTCCTCATCTAACTTTGTTCCTTCTGCTCCACTTATTTTTTCACTGAATAACTGTAAAAAGATAAATTTAACACACTAAAGAAAAAGGTATTGTTATTTAATTACAGAATAAATATCTCAGAGTTACAGGAATTGACTCCAGATCAGAAAACAGCCATCATCCATTTGAGGCAACTATGCAGGACAAAAGTAAACAGTCTTGGAAGTGAAGTACTCCCTTCAAGACAGACAAGGATACCTGATACGAATTTAGAACAAGCAAACAAAAAATATGATTTCTCATGTTTGAAGAGTTCGTACTCTACAGGCATGACCTACACTGCAGATTTCAGCCCAGGGACCAGAGTCTGACTGCAGGTAAATCCACAGTAACCTTTTCAAGTGTGTCTCTGCAGCTCTGTACTCCTGAGTACCTTCTGGCCCCCTGTGCCAGCAGGTTCAGGGATTAACTCCCATTCCTGCTGCTGGGAGTTGTGTGCAATTCTCCAGAAGGAAGAGACTCGTGAAAAATGCTTCACTGTGACTCACCTGTGAGACTGAGCACCTTTATGATCAAAACAAGAATGCCAGCTGTTCTTCAAAAACTCAAAGCACCAATTTCAGATAGATTTCAGTAAACCTTCTGAAAAGGCTAAAAGTTAACCAACTTTTGTGTGAAAACTCCAGGCTGTCAGACCTGACTGTGGTCCTCACTGAGTAAATCATGGCCAGGAATAAGCCACCAAGCAGAACTCAGCCATCTGCTCCTTGCATTGCATGGTACCTGCACTGTGACTACATGAAAAGAAAGCCAGATCCTCACCCAGTGTGAAACAGCCTTTGAAAGCATCCCTCCACTACCACAGTGATTTAACACATATTCAGCATTACATTCCTTCAAAAATACCTCACATTTCTCTGCTTTAATTGGCTTTTATTACTGAAACTGCTGGTCCCCAAACCTGTCCCAAATAAAGCATTTTGTTTGTCCTCAGCACCTTCTAAAAGAGAATTCATCTCACTGAATTAGAAGGGCCCTGAGGACTTGCATAACCTGAAAATGGGTCAGGGCTCTCAGCAGTGCCATGGTTCCCTGCTCTCGGTCACTGCCTGCACGGCACAGGTGTGGGGGGAGGACACTGCCCTGCCAAAAACCAGCGAGGAGCTGATGAAGCAGAGCTGGGAGCTCAGCAGTGGCTGACCTTGCATCAATATCACCACTACCACACAGTCAGAGAACAGTCCTGCTTAAGGGAAAATGTGAGTTCAAAGAGAGACATACAGCTAATTATTTCTATTGGCTTTACAGCAGCACTCACAATATTCATGCTTAATATGCCAAGCAGCACACACACTTGTCAGGATCATTTCTCTTGCAGAGCACTGAGAGAACGAGCACAAAGGCAGATAAAGCAGACGGAGAAGCCCAAGTACCAGTGAGTTCCCGTGGGTCATCACCTTGCTGCTGTAAGACATGACAGCAGAGAAGTGACCTGAGGTCACACACGGAGCAGGACACTGCCCTGGTCTCTGCAGGAATGTCTGAGGAATCCTTGAGCAGACGGAGAAAGGTACATGACAAGGCTGCATGAAAAGCAGGAATTCCTATCAGGAATTCTGCAGCTCCTTCACAATAACAGTTTCTGTGTCCTTTCTGTGCACTGTTAATTCCAAAAATAATCAATGCCATTTTCCACAGCTTCACACACATCTTCATTCTCCAGCAGGCAAGGAAGAGATCTAGGGTTTCCCAAAACCCTTTCCAAAGGCTGAATGCTGTGGGGAAATTACCCTTCTCAGGCTTAAGTTGCAAACTCACATTCAGCAGCAGCCCATGGCAGTCCCATTACAGATAATTCATTTATATGCTGGTGAAAAATAAACCTAACAAAGTAATGTGCTTGCTTGACTGTGAAAGTGTAAGCAATGATAAAATTCTAAATCTCTTTTAGAGTGACTTGTGGATACAACAACTCAGAGCCAGCCATGGGATCTGCAGACACTGTTTCACATAGACTTTAAAGACAACCTAACTACACATCTCTACCTGGGGAAAAAAGTACTGATCATAATAAAAAAAAATTGTTGACATATTTTCCAAGTTCTATGCAAACATTAATGAGACTGCAATCTGTAGCCCAAGGACACACTTCTTCAATGGTATTTACCCTGAGCTCTAATGTCCTTTGAAAAATGACACTGTATAAAAAATGATTCCTTAAAGTCTGTAAGTTTTTACCAACAGTAAAAATTGGTATAAAGTTCGAATGGCTATAATTAAATTTTACACCTCTACAGTTTATTTCATATTGGTATAAATGGGAAGAGCTGTACTAGCCTCAGATTTAGGAACAAAAAAGTGTTTGTTCTAATCATACTGAATTTAGGAGTTGTAAAACTAGCATTACCCTTCTCACAATTAAAAGTCACAGGATACCCAATTAATTATTGAAAATGAATACACAAAGGAGACAGCTGCTGAGTTTTAGTTCCCTGACTATTTGCTGAGCATCACTTACATGCTTTATATCAAGCTGCAAAATGCTTTGAACATAAATAGAGGATGCCCAGCTGAGGAGCTGTGTAGTTACATGGCAATATCTATCAGGCTTGACGAGTCACCTCATCAAAGACCAAACTGCTGCCACCACACAAGGTGTGTACTCTGAGCGAGTTTGGAATTTCTTCTACAGGAAGAATTCTTCACCACCAAATTCAGTACACTGGCACCACGGATTCAGCACCATTTGACTAGACAGGGCCACAATCCGTGGCTGTGAAAAAAACCAGTTCCCACCAGTGGGGCCACCACCTCTTTACTATTCCACTGCAGGTTAGAAGCTAAAGCTTTGCATTAGTCCTGTTTCTAGGGCAGCTAACTAGCCTTCCTCTGGATCAAACCTACAGTCAGAGAACAGTTCTGCAATAGGAAAGATTTCTTCCTCTCAGGTGTCTGTTCAACTCCCTCTATCACACTTACATTAGAGTGAGAGAAAGAAAAAAGCAACAAAACTAAGTTATGAACATGAAAATGCTTTCAAATCAGCCATTTGTATTATCACCTCTCATTTCAAGTTACACATGAGAGCAAACTACCTTCAGTGGTAAAACTTGCATGCTCTATATAATAGAAGACCTTTTTGCCTGAAGAAATATTGCAGTTTGTACACAAATGCTCCTTGCTCGTTACTTCCTGCTAGATCCTGCTGTTCTTTTTAAAATTGAAAAATTAAATATGACTGCTGTATTATAAACAATCTGAAAGTCTCTGGTGGGCTTATGCAGAATTTTATATGAAGAAAAATGTGGAATAAAACAAATAGGCTTTGAAAGAAACCCCTCTAGATATTATGATTTCTATTTTATTTCTGGATATCCAGCTACAATTCAAAATGCAACCTGCAATTTTGTTACAGTCTTTAAAAACTAAATATTTATCTGCTAAGGCATTTATATTCCAAAGAGAGAAAAAGATTTTTCTATAAATTTTTCTAATATTTTCTAATCTTGTGAGAATTCTTTGTTATTTTTTTTAGATAATATAATTTCCTTTTGATTTGTTATGATGAAGCATTGCCTCAACCCTGGCAGTGTTCAAAACCTGGAGAAGGCCTTGAGTAATCTGGTCCAGGGAGAGGTATCCCTGTCCATGGCAGGGGGTTTTGGACTGGATGAGCTTTAAGGTTCATTCCAGCCCTCTTACCACCCCATGATTCCATGAACATGGCACATGAGCTGTCCATACTTCAAAGTAAAACCTAGAGCTCACCAAAACTCCAAGCTTAAAAAAATCTCAATATTTAAAATAAAAATACTGAAAAATTATGTTAAGAATATTAAGATCCCTATTGCACAGGAATAGTTCATTTCCCCATTGTTATATGGATCATAACAAACAAGCTTCAGAAAAATGCCATATTTTACTAATGGTTTGTATATCACATCCACTGAATTATACTAGTTTTTCATATTTCACTATAGAAGGTTACTGAATATAAGAAGCTGCCAAAATTATCCCAGATCAACAGAGAGCTGATAAAACTCTCAAAACAATTACCCTATTTTTTTTTTTTATATATATCCACTGGGTATTTTATAATACAAGTCAATGGGATTCTTGCCAGCCAATAGTTGCACACGTGCTCTGACCTTCTATTTCACTTGTTTTGCCCTTCTTTTGCAACATTCAGGAACTAGGATTGAACCATCACGGCTCTTTTGTTGTTATTCAGCTACTGTTGAAAGAACTGGCTGGCCAGCAAAACTCTTGTAACATACCTGGCCAGGAAATCAGTCTGTGCTATTTAAAGGTCGAACAAAAGGTATCATATTCTATTTAAAGGCTTAAGAGCTTTTAACGACTCTTTACAAAGTTAAAGCATTTATTTTGTTCTGAAGGACTAGCTGCTGAAATTATCTGTTGAAACTTTAATGGGATAGAAAATTCCTACATTTGTCATAAATATGCACGCTGTCAAACCCTTGAGGCAAAACCTAGATTTTTTTATTCTGACAAAAAAGCCAAGGCTATGAAAAAAAAATTAAATTTATTTCCCTCTCTTTAAAAAGGAAGCAAGCAATCAACTGGGAAAATGAATAGATTCATCCCAAAGTTAACACAGGGAGAGCCAGGAAATAATGTAACTGTATGGCTCCATTTCCCATAGAAACAGAACTGGGCCAAACTGCACAAATGCATTAAATACATCTTAAATACAGTACTTAGTACAAAATACTACATTCCAGTATGGTTAACACATAACAGTTACGCTTCTCTTAATAAATCATTAGAAGTTCCAGCAATTTCCCTGCAGCCATGTAAGTGTTTGATTTGGTTTAATGCAATGTGACAATGCTAACAGCTTTCTCAAGGATCTTATTTAAGCCTGTAATAAACAAAGGGAAGAATAAGGTGGCTGGCAGGACAAAGTCGAATCTCCTTGCCGTGCTCAACACCCTGAGGGGAGGGAGAGATTTTCTTCTTTGTCCTCTTCCAGAATGCTCTATCAGATTAGAGACCAAGATTTCAGCCTCTTTTCTATATCAAAAGTAGTTTAACCTCAAATAAATGC